TCTGATAGCCGCTGAGGTTGCCAAGGATTAGTGAATTTTCTTACGCCGCTACAACATGGCATAATAATCTCTTAATATGAAATTACAATTTTGTTTAACCGGAGGAGAATACGATACGTCGCAGTATTGGTTGTATCTGTACGGTAAATTATACGGCTATTGCTGAACCAAAGATTTTCTTTGGTAGGATTGCTCCTTAAGACCCAAATATGGATTTAAGAAGTAGACCACCGCGATTTTTGATGTTAGTTCTTTGAGGTTTTCACAGATTCTGCTTTGGAAAAAAATAGGGTCTCAATCTGTATAGAGGCATTAATCTAGCTACTAATTCAAGTTTGGTACCATATTCGTGTGATTTAAGGATGCTAAATTCATTTTAGGACTCATATTTGTACGATTAAGATGTTAAACTACGTAAAATAAAAAAATAAGTAAACATTACAGTATTTATTTAAAAAAATCTAAAATTAAAAAATAAAAAAGTTTGGTATGATGATTCCTAGCCCTCGTCCTCCAATACCTCTGAATCCAGTCATATATCATCTTCGATGAGTGCTTCACGGTCTATTACACTGTAATAAAATATAAAACAATGATTACCCAAAAAAGTAGAAACAAACAAGCAAGCAAACTAAAAGCGAAAGTTATTCAAACTTAAATATACCACAGTAAAGCGTGATAACGAACTTTTCCAAGCTAGTCAGTATTCACCTGTAAGTTCATTTAACGGATTAGAAAGGGCTTTAAAATCTGATGTGGCATCAATAAACTGCTGCCATGCCTTCCAGGTCAGTGTTTTCCATTTTGAGTAGAACGCAGAAACGGTGTCACAACCTGTGAATGCATGGTACCCTCTCATGTTTCTGCTCTTTCTTCACCCAGATGATGTGCCAAATCATGCGCAGCTATATAGCTGTGATGCTTTCCAGTACCAAAAGATATCCACAATTCTTTGAGACCTAACCGCTTAAGGGAAAAGTAGTAGGATATGGCAGTTATGAGCACGTCGGAATCAACAGTATGTATTATTATGTTTGTTGCTCCATTCATCACCATATCTTGGGCATGCAGTATAATGCGGCTGTCAGCCTCCTCGCAAGTAACATTAAGCCCTGTCAACAGCGTGTTCATTGGTACTGATGATTTGATTGTCGTACCGATGTTAGTCACTATATGTATACCGAGGTTCCCCCGAAGGGCATAGCATCCGAGTAGCTTATACAGTTTTCCTTGTTGTGAGAATTCTTAAGACCAATTGCTTGGCAATTTGTAGTTGTCCTGTACTTGACGACGTATTTTTTGGCCTCTATTATCCCGAACCTGCTTTTTGAGAGACATATCAGACTAAAGATCCCAGACGATATCAACCCTTCTCGCCTCTATGTTCTCTGTACTTCTCAAGATGCACCGACGGAACTCATTGCAGCAGTATTCTTTGAATGTTTTGGAGCTACGTGGAGGATGACTGTGGACAAGGGCAGCTCCATCAAAAATATGACTACTACAATTTTCAGGGTAAGTGTTGAAAGGCATAACGGCGTGATTTTGTGTGTGTGTGCGCGTGCGTGTGCGTGTGTGTGTGTGAGTAGTTACGTTGTACCAGTTCTGGCTCACTGAGTCAGAAGGGGTACAAGTACAACGTTCGTCGAGACTCACGATCCTAAAAAAAAAGGGTTTTGGCATGCTCTGATCACGAATCTGCGTCCATTTTTGCGTAGGATGCACGGTTCCGGAGATGTGCAGATCAATTAACTCTTATCTAATTGATATCCGGTGAAGGCCTCCACCGTCATTAGCGCTCCATTGTTCTTATCTACTTATCTATTGTTCATTGAATACCGTCATTATCTATTCTTCCTCAGCGTGGTGCTATTGTATTATACTCCTTTGTTCCTATCTACACTAATCTGACTCATCAATAAAACACATTACCTAATTTTGTAAAAATTTTTATTTACAAAATACAAAATCTTATTACTTATTATCTATAAAATAGGAGCGAAACATCTCATCCACTAAAATATCGTTGTACAATGTGTTCCCTGTAAATATACTTGTAAAACTATGCATTGAACATCCCTGAAACTTATATAGCAAATACATTAAGCAATATTCGCCACAAACTGAAGTCCACTCATTCTGAATCCTATCAACATTCCAGTTCCATCTTTTACAATTTCTTTTTAAAAACTCTAGATGATATCGTACAGGTGCCCGTCCGAATGAATCAAAATATTGACCGACGTCATTCGTGTCGATATATAAATCTACCCAATGTGACCCTGGTTTATCATCTGTATCCAAATTGCATATTATATACGTTGGTACGTGGGTGTACATGGGCAGTTTATTGGCAGCATAAACATTATTTTCTAGAGTGGGGTGAATCTTTTTCAGATGTTGTTGTACATCTTAGTGTATCCATGATATTACTGCTATTAGTAGATTATTACAGTACCAATCTACTCAATGACTAACATAGGAATGATCAATTATAGTGATTTCTAAATATTAAATTGCATTCTTTGTGTTATACAAAACGTATTTGAGTCATCAATACACTGAACAAGACACGACACGAAGGACGAAGGAATGTTGAGATAAGCAACAGAATGTGAGATAAGCTTGTTGACGCATAAAGTTATTATCAATTCCACTGCAGAAATTCTTTAGATTAGAATTATCACTTACTGGTACTATATAAGACCAAGCAACTGCAGTCATTGAGTTAGTGTATGGTCGTTTGACCGCAGTGGATCTAACAATACTACATTTGTGTTACTTCAACGCATCAAAGGCCATGGATGTAAGTGTTTATTCTATTGACAAACTTACATTTCTTTCTGTTATTTTCTTACGTGTGTATGATTTAGTGTTAACAAATTATATTAAAATATTGTGTGTGTATATGATTAAGCCGTGGTAGCTCAGATGGTTAGCGCAAAATGTAAATTTCACAGTACGCGACCCGGGTTCGATCCCCGCCGGCAACAATTAAATTGTTAATTGCAATTTTAAGTGCTGATTTACCACGTGCTCAGCGATGAAGGAAAACATCGTGAGGAAACCTGCATGTCTGAAAAAATTTCGAAGGCATGTGAAGTTTGCCAACACGCATTGAGGCAGCGCAGCGAACATTTCCTAGCTCTAAAACCCTCTCAGAAATGAGAGGAGGCCTATGTTCAGCAGTGGACTTTAATAGGTTGTAACTTTAACTTTTTTAACTTTTATGATTAAGTGTTAACAAATTTATATTAACATGATAACTGTGTTGTTGCAGAAATCATTGAGCTTCGATGAAAATACCTATAAACAGTATTACTACTCGCCACTCTCCCCTCAAGAAGAGAGTGATGACATGGTCATTAATAATAACACATGCGATGGTGGAAAAAGAAAATCGCAATCGATTGATCATTTTTTGAAGCTGAATCAAAAATGAAAAAGAGGAAGCTGTTATCATCTACAGTAGCACGAGCCGCTAGAGAAAGTCTCCTCATAACCACGCAGCCGGCTGCGTGGTTATGAGGAGACTTTTACCCACTAAACCCCACCTTTAAGGATTGGCTTACCGATCTGACGATCTGATCTCTAAGCCGTATACGAAACGCGAACTGCCTTGGCAGAAAGGAGGGCGCACACGATTTGATATAGGCTAAAAGTGATATTACACACCCCTAGTTAACGTTTCGTTAACGGAAACGTCAACGACCCATCACTAATCCTAATAAGTGTTTTTATCGTGAATTCGTAGATTTCTGTGAATTTAGATGTATTATAGGACTAAACAGCTACTTACATCCACAGAACACTAATACCCTTAGGCGGGAAGAATGTCAACTTCAAACAAAGAAAATGGCACCCATAATGCACGCCATCTCTGTCGTGCCCCACTAAAACTTTTTTGCGCGGGAATTTTGAAACGTGATTTTTTTTTAGTTGGCGTCTTGGTTGTTTCGTTTCAAAAATAGCTTAAGAATGTAAAATACCATATAGATAGATATAGCTTGTAGTTTTTCGTTTCAATGATATATATTGCTAAATTAAAACGAAAACAAAAGCACAAAGTTATTTATAAATTATGGTACTTTACATTCATAAACCACTTTTGAAACGATTAGCAATCATTTTAATATAAAAAAGGAACTATTTTTCAAATAAAAGTGGTTTTTGAAATACATAATTTTTATTTACATTACATACTTGTCCACATTGGTACATAGAAAAACCGTTGGTACATTGATTGACGTAGGTGACGTAGTAATTAACTAATTTTTAACTTTATGCATGTAAACAGTTCTCAACAGCTCTTAACTAAATATCGATTTAATAGTTAAGTAGTTATGTAAAACAGAATAGTCTATTTTTAAGAGGTAGGCGTGTTTAAGCGAAGTATAGGAAATAAGCATTCTCGTAACTTCGCTAAAACACGTGTCAATGATTATTAGTTTATAGCTAATTAGTTCATCACTTCACCTATTAAGTAAACGGCATATGTAACATGACATTTAAGCAAAATGGAAAGTAAAGTGACATTGGTTTTATATAAAAAAAGATTAGACAATCGAATATAAACACTTTTTTCTAACAAGAAAACATTATTTACCTTCACATTCTACAAACAAGGCAATAACTTTGCAATATTATGTCTAAACTCCAATAACCTGATTATATTATAGATGCCACCAATAATATTACATTTGTAGAAATTATTTTCGTTATATTATTGTTATTAAAAAATAATAAGTCAACATTTTCATGTCATTAATTAGCACTACCTGCTGCAAATCCATCCACGAAAAACAAAAAGGATAAAGATATGTTGATAAAAATGAAATATCATCTGAGAAAAATTAACAGGCTTCAAAAAACTGTAAAGCATCTAAAGAATGAAGCATTTCTCAAAGTATTGAGCAAAAATGATTCAGTAAATGAAATATTAAAATGTAAAATATCCCCCTCTTTTGCATTATTTTTGCAAGGACGGACGACGTCATTTCTTATTGTTTGACGGAAAACGTCATTTCTTTAAAAAATTTCTTCATTAAAGTGAAATGTTTGAGATGTGGTGTATTATTTGTCATGTTTGTCGAAAATGGTTTCCCCCTTCTTAGGTCTGGTGTGTATGCGTTGACACAATTAAACAGCTTGTACATATTTACAATAACATTAGCAGTAGTGACGGCCTCTGAAGAGTTCCCCTGTAAACAATACATAATTTAAGATCTTACTATTAGGATTAAAGAAATATGATTTAAAGTACATTCAAGACAACTCAAAAAAATATCACATATCACACAATAAACAATAATTTGTACTTGGGAGAGCCTAGTTCCTTTTAAAGTTAATAATTATTTTAATGGGTGGACATATGTTTAAATATTATACTTTAAATTATAAATTTAATTTACCTTGTGAAATTTTAGCATACATTCCTGCAGTAACTGAGTGGCTTAACACTTGTGCAGCTAGCTTCACCTTCATCTTCTGCTTCGTATTTGGATTTAAATGTTCTTGCTTTAAGCAAGGTGCAAACACAAAATTGGGATTGGTGTTATCTGAAACTCCTTTATATGGCTCCATTTAGCAACACCTGTAAAAAACATATGTGTAAATATCCAGTAAATTGGAAATACGTATAATATTATGATTGTAATAAAACAAAATATCTTACCAAATCCAATTTGATCATTTGATGTTATATTTGTTGGACATTTAATGTCATATTTTAAAAACATATTTCTAAAGCATTTGTAGCAAATGTGAGTATCAAAAATGGTAACCACTTCTCGATTACTGAGCAGAATATATGGCTGTTCTACAGATGCTCCCAAGATACTTAAAGCTCTCTTATTCACACCATCCATATCACACACTGTAGCTGAAATATTAATTCCAGCATCAAAACAATGTTGCAGGACCTAGAATGATAAAAGGGTAAATTAATATGGTAAAAAAGTACTACTACATATATTGACATAATAACAAATAAAAGACCATAATGCTCACCTCCTTTATAAGAACTGACAGCCTATCTGCAGTCACAGATCCGCTATAAAAAATAATAAGCAATTGGTTGTTTCAGCTTTTTACGGATTCCGCCAATCATGAACACGAGGGCATGTGTTGCCATTTGTGGTGACCTGCCCTGCAATGCATGGTCTTGATAACCCTCAATTATGTCCTCCTTTTTGTTGTAAAACAAATTCTTTTTTTATCGACATCTCATCAAACATAAGGATATACTCATTGTCTGAGGGAGTCTGTTGCTTTATTGTTTTTTTTTCAAAACATTAAAATTTGGTCATTAATACCAACTTTCATGTGAAACTTGCTTAATAACGCTTTTAATGAACTAGGTGTTGGCGGGCAAATCATCCTTCTTAATAATTTGTAACACCTAGGTGACCTTTTATACAGTCTTAGTGCTATTATTTTGGAGTCCATGTTCCATCTTCGACCTTTTGATTTTTTTTTATAGTTTTGCAATTCTCCTTGCAAAAATAATGCAAAAAGAGGGGGATATTTTACATTTTAATATTTCATTTACTGAATAATTTTTGCTCAATACTTTGAGAAATGCTTCATTCTTTAGATGCTTTACAGTTTTTTGAAGCCTGTTAATTTTTCTCAGATGATATTTCATTTTTATCAACATATCTTTATCCTTTTTGTTTTTCGTGGATGGATTTGCAGCAGCAACAGGGTTGATATTCTCAGTTACTTGAGGAATAGCACTAGTTTTGTCAGGAATGGTCTTATAATGCACATTCTCACACAAGGGTTGTATACATTTTGACGGACCCGCAACCGGCTCAAATACATTTGGAACAGTTAGTCTTCTGAATATTTTCAGTGGTTGTTTAGTAGTTGATGGACCCGCAATATGTTGAATGACATTCCTTTGTTCCAAATTATGGTCAGCTAATGTGATCTGAAAATTAGAGATTATCAAATCATTATTTATATCATGTATCCCAGCTGTTAGCGACGATAAGTGAATTTAAAAACATTTAATCTTAATTGTTTCTTATTTGTGATATAAAACTAAGTGTTAGAAAGGAAAGGTGAATTTAAACGTTTAATCTCAATTGTTTCTTATCTGTGATTTAAACTAAGTATGAAAATTAATAGCATTAATACCAAGAGAGTGAAATAATAACTTATATTAGCTTCAATTCTTATTTTAAAAACTACGTAACGAAAATATAAACCTAATTGCTTATTTAGGTTTAATTAGAATATTTAAAACAAGATATAAGTTTAGTTACTTATTAGAACTTTCTTTTATTACAATTTTAAAGAGTTGTATTAAAGATATTAACATTTAAGTGTAAATTTAATGATTTGTTTAATTCTCTTTCTCTTATAGTAATATAACACGATAATGTGTCAATTAATCTCTTATATAATCTAATTACTCATTATAGAAATAGATTTTAATTTAATAAGAAGTTGAAATATGTTCTGTATAGAGTCTTAAGCATAGTGTTATCGTGATAAGCGTTCTGCATTCCTGCCGCCTGCATTCATTAATTAGTATTTACACTATTTCATATTTGGATATAATATAATTTTATATGTTTGTGCATTGTGAAACTGTTACGTATAAGTTTTATGTTTTAATATAATTAAAAAACTTTAAACTTTAGTTCAAATACTCTCTGTCTGAGTCTGAGTCATACTCTGGTATTAGTTACCTACTTAAATTATTGTTATCGATTTTTTTTTATTACTATTTGTTATAGTTCCTGTAAAATAGGTTAGACGCCTAGTACTTAGTTTGTTGATTTTGTAATTTTTGATTATTTTGTTCTTATTTGTTGATATTAAAGTTTATAAGTCTAATACACATTAAACATTATAGAAATAAGTGACATTTAGTTACACACTGAGAACTATTGATCAATAAAACCTTAATAACAAAAAAAACCTTTTATAATTTACTTAATTAGCATATACCTTTTTATCGTTAAGACCTTATGGTTGTGTATTTACTTATAATAAAGACATATGTGCGCATTTAACCAACAATTTTCTGAAGAATAAGATTATGTGTCTATATGTAACCTACAGACATCCACAATAAAACGTTACATATGCATATAGGACAGGCTAGATTTTAAAATACAGTTCTTTAATTAACGATTTTAATGAATATCCATGCTTTATTATAGTCTATAGTACATACCAAAAAACTAATTGTCTAGTTTAAAAAACAAAAATGTTAGAGCGAAAATTGTGCAAGACTGTGTTCAAATCGCTCTCCTGTAAAGTAAAGGTTTTGCAAATGTTATTTTATTCTACGGATAGGTCGAAATGAAGTGGAGATGGATAGGTCATATGCTATGGAGCCCTCAAGATAAATGGAGCTATATTATTATTATTATTATATAATGTGATCTGAAAATTAGAGATTATCAAATCATTATATATCATGTATCCCAGCATTGATCAACCAATCTCTAAATTTCAAACAGCCTTATAAATTTATAAACATTAAATACAACTTGTTTTTATTAATTAATGTTACTTTAACCCATTACCACCACCATCCTATATATTTTTTTAAAGTTTATATCTTTTGTTTTTTTATGGTTGAGAAGTAATGGTAGGTTACGTCGCATTACCTTATAAATCACCACTCAATCTGTTACCACCGTTTGTTAACTAGAAAATATTTTTACTGTAGTATGAGAAAAGCCACACAAAAGAAAAAAATGTAGATAGTAACAAAAGAAAGATTAACTAACCTTATCACATTCCTCATCAGGTACTGCAGATTTGACTAGCCTCTTTCCAAAATTATCAATGAATGATGATTTCTTAAAATGTTTAGTGCACAACATTAAATGCTTAGAATGAAGCTTGTTTTGAAATTCTGGTGACCACCAAGAGTCATGAGGAAAACAGTACTTCGCCCATAATTCACATCTAAAAATTTACAATTAGATAATAATATACTACTGAGGTGCTAAAAACATGCTTGGAAGAAGAGTATATGCAATACAAGAGATTGTTCCTTTCAAACAATGTGATTGTATTGTATACATATATAAATATTATTCCACATGTTATTTCTATGTGTACCAATACATCTACAACTACTTTATTATGTTATGATTTCTATGTGATACACCTCATGCTGTTTTGCATAATTTCTCTTTAATTTTCAGATTTATTTGCACACGTTTTTAAATCGCTTAATATGTATCTTAGGTTTTATTAGCCGATGCGGCCCATAATAATTTTTATTTCTGTTACTTTATTAATTCAGTGGTTCAAATTTAAACATTTTAAAACTGTTTTAATCAGTAACCAAAAAGCTATTTAGCATACGTACCGTAAGCTATTAATTTGTTCTCCCAGGCTTAGGAAAACGATGCAAGGTGATGTTACGATCATGAGCAGGAGAACATCCACACTTGTAACATTTCCTTTCGTTTTCTTTCATGATGAAAGATAAAATTGAGTCTCTGTCTCTTTAGCACAATGCACAGCACTTATTTTTGAGTCTCTTTCTCACTGTAAACACTAAAACGGAGGAACGGGATGTTCAACTCAACGTTAGTAATGTAAGAAATAAGTTAATATCAAAATATAAACTTAATTTGCAACACAAATAAACAAGAACACAACCGCAAGCGCAAGGGATCAGCCATTTGTAATTTTGTTTATTTGCCGTTGCCATATCTTGCCTTTTTATTATAGTATGCAGTTTCATATTCATACATTTTGTTACTTCAATAAAGACGTAATAAATATATTTTTAACGAAATATATTATATAATAAAGTATTATAATTATTAAATAAAAAAATGATTAAAATGATGTGTCATTTAAAATAATATTTCTTTCATGGCAAGTTAACATAAAGTGCGAGGGAGATAGATGTTAATCCATCTCGCTTCTTTAAAGCCCCCCAAGGTCATCTCCCGGTACCAATCTTTTATTAAGAACTTGACTGGCCCTGCTTACATCTAAGTAGGAGCTGTTGAGACCTGTATTACATTTAAATTCACAGACACACAAGTACCTGCATCTATTGAACATCCGTGTAAAGCAAATCAATACTACGTTATAAAATACCACAAGCGCCATCTATTAGTGTGACTTATAAACTAACGACCAACGCCATTTGTCATTTATTAAAATGTTTATAGTAATAGACTCGTTTTTTTAATATTTACAAAAATTATATATAAGTATGGTCATAATATTACGTTAAAATTTAAGGTATGTATAAATAAGCATAGCATGTGTGACAGAGAGTGGTTGTCAATTTTTAAATAAAACTTTTATATTGTTGTACTCTAATATATTATCGACTGCAACTGTGTAACTGGATTAACTATGTAAACAGTAACAATGAATCTAGTCAGCGACTGTTTTTGTTTTTATACACGCATTAATTTACAATTATTCGTAAACGAAAACAGTTTAAAATCACGTACATTATTTATTACATCCAGAATCTTATTTTATAAAGTAATTACAAACAATTATTGTACGTAAATATTTAATATGTTACGACTTGATAATAAATATAAAATCTAAAATTACCAAACTAAAAAAATACATATTAAGGTGGAAACCGGTAGTAGGCTACATAAAGAGGGTATTCGTTGTGATTTGACAGATGAAATTACAAATGAAGACCAAATTTTTTATTAGTGTCTACAGCCATAAAACAGAAAATCAAAATACGACCATTAAAGAAAATTTTGTAATGAACCGTATATGTAAATCGCGATTAGATATAAAATATAATACCAAATATAAACCAGAAGAAAAATACTCAAATACATTCAAATGGATCATTTCGGACTCCAGCTTCAGTATCCTCCATACAGCAGAAGGGAGTGTGTTTTAAGCACAGTATGTAAAATAAAAGCTTGCCTAACAGTAAGAATATCCCATTCCTTATACAGGTCTAGAGTAGAGAATCGGAAGGGTAGACCAGCACTTTATTTGTTTTTTATACAAGAGGGGGCAAACGAACATGCGGCTCACCTGATGGTAAGTGACTACAGCCGCCCATGAACAAACGCAACACCAGGAGAATTGCAGGTGCGTTGCCGGCCTTTTAGAAAGGAGTAAGCTTTTTTCTTGGAGGTCCCTTAGTCATAACGGTCCGAAAAAGTCGCTGGTGGTAAAGAATTCCACAGAGAAGTTGTACAATCAAGAAAACTCCTAGTAAAACGCTCGGTGGTGGACCGCCAAGCATCCAGATGGTGAGGATGGTATCGTAAATTTTGACGCGATGTATGTTCGTGAAATTTGGCGGCTGGAACTAATCCAAACAATTCCTCAGCACCGTCCGCATTGTAGATACGATAGAAAATACCAGCTTAAAATAGTAGCTTAATGCTGCTGTGATTTGTATGGTGAGTGTAGAGAACCGGAGACCCTTTTTACTGGAAACGAAGCATTCCATCTTAGTAGAGGATGGATGTAGATATCTATGGGCCGCAGTAACCACTTACCATCGGGTGGACTGTGTGCTAGTTTGTCACCTTATCCTATAAAAAAAACGCAAAGGGATGCAACATTCCTACGCAGCGTCAGTGAATCGAGCCGAGAAAGATCTTGGTCGTCGACGATTCGAATTGCTTTGCGCTGGATGCGGTAAAGTGGAAGGAGCTGGTACGGGGGTGTCCCTGCCTAGGGCTGCCATCTCTAAAACCTGCCCCCCAGGACCGGAAGCGTAATTTCCCCGGATTTTGGAGCTTTCACCCCGAATATTTCAAGACTTTTTTCATTCACTTACATCTAGATTGAAATATATTTTACTCCTTACTTGATAGAAGAAAACTTTAATTTTAAGCCTCTTTTGTTGCATGAAATAGCGTGTTTAATCTTTCTTGTTACGACAAGTGAGTAATTTTGCTTTATTTTTTAACCTTCTTAGGTATTAAATAAAAGATAAACAAGCCCAACATTAGTTACTCAGTTAATAAAATTAAATGAAAACTTGTTTAACTTTTTATTTTTTCATATTCAATTAACAATATTTAGTTTCGTTTTAAAAGAACTTAAATCTCAAATCAAATTCAGAAAGTTATAATAACATATTACAAGAAACTAAACACAATTTGTTGTTTTCATTCGTAGATCTATGTAACTAAATTAAAGCAATATTTAAATCAAATAAAACTATACTTTTTAATTATTTGGCAACTCTTAAAGTACTTAAACATTAAAATGTCTTCAAATTTTAAACTTAAATTACTATATTATTAATTTTAACTTTTTGGTAACACTTAATTCTTTAATTTGTATTTATTTATGTCAAATAGTGCTTTTAATGTTTTGGTAATTCTTAAAGTATTTTTAATAACATTAAAATGTCCTTAAATTTTAAAATAGACTATAATCAGAACTAAAACCTAAAAAACAATAAATTGTAAATTTTTAAGCAATCCCACATGTTTATTTCTATATCCTGCAGACAAACAAAACACAATTTGTTGTTTACATTCATAGAACTGTGTAACTTATTTAAATTATAAAGGAAACTACATATAGTTTTTAATTACTTGGCAATTCTTAATAAGATTAAAATGCCTTCAAATTTTAAATAGACTAGACAGAATTAAAACTTAAATAGCTTGTGTTATGAATTTTAACTTTTTGGTAACACTTAAACGAATACGATAGTTCTCTTAAAAAATAGTATCAGTTAGTCTGTTCAGACAATTTACGGTGAATTTACATTTAAATAAATAATGAATAGAAAATATTTATATTTCTTTGAATTTTAATAAAATTCTTCATATATTATTTTGCAGGACTCACTTACTGATTCATCAAATCCCAACCCAAATTTTACCTTACACCTAGAATTGTTTAAGCAGAAACATTATGATAGTACAATCAATATATTTTTACTAACATAATGTTACGTTCGTCATAATCTACATCAATTTATCACAAACAGTCACCTGCATGGCTTTAATACTAGAAATAATAACAAACCAGCACTAGATAAATGTAGATTGGCTACCATTATGTGACAAAACTATAGAAACCAGTAAATAAGAAAAATTGCACAATCAGTTTTTAAAAGAGCAAAGCTCGAGTTTCTTGTCTGTTCTTCACTGCACCTTTGTGAACATAGTGTTACAAAACAAATTTTTTATGACTTATTTTAGTAACACTTGCTGTTTAATGAAAAAAAATTTTGAATGAATAATTATAACTTTGACTTTAGAAAGTTGAAATTCGGCGCAGAGGTTCTAGAGGTTGCACCCGGACTACAATTTAAACCCCGCCCGGACGCTCCCCGGACGTCTTCCAAACTAGGACAAATCCGGGGAAACCCGGACGGATGGCAGCTCTACCCCTGCCCAGTGATGAGAACATGTGAGGCCGAACCAGCGCTTTGTAAAGCTGCAAGCGATGTGCCGGCATTAAGTACTGTCTCACTCTGCTGAGCACGCCAAGCTTTTTAGAGGCCAATTTGGCTTTCCCTCCATAGTGACCACGAAACTGCACACTATTCGATATGTGTGCCTTCAAACTAAAGAAATACGACAAAGAGGTTTTTTTAGCGGTGAACGCGCCAACTTGTGTCTTCTGGGAACTAAATATAACTAGATTCAGTCGCCCTTAATCCGGGACTATGTTAAAAGACAAAGACTGACTTCAGACACAAGTTTGTCCCGGTTCTCGGCGACGTTTTCGTCGTCTGCATAGCAATGAATTTTACCAGTTTGCAACATATAGTTGAAGATAGCACGCAGCCTTGTGGAACACCAGCGATAATAGTAATTTTTCAGCATTGCTTCTGTGTTGTGAATCGGAAACTCTTTTTACCTGGTAATATGGCATTCGCTGTTAATTCTCAGGGAATAGATTTACATTTTTATTCAATATAGGTTATATGTAATACCTATTAAAAATTATTTTTACTTTTACTACTGGTTCAGAAAAGAAACCTCTGTCCTGAGAAGAACCAGCAAGAAACCCAGCGAAACTTTTTTCTTAAAGCACAATTTACAATAATGTAGGTATTGTATACAACTGTTACGAAACACCATGGTTGCGACCACCTCATTCCCAGGGGTATTATCAAACATGAATCCTTTAGTAGTAGGTATAATATAACCTTTACTAAACAATTTTTGCTTAATTAATATGTTTCTAGTGTTTACAGAATGTACATCCCTATTTTTAATAAAACTCTTTTGGTTTTTGTGTACCTACATTCAATTTTCGTAAATAAATTGGGAATCCAAAGTTAATATATTTTTCTTTAAATTTATCTCTAACAGATATTTTCGGACCTAGGTTATAAATTGCTCTTATGGCTCTCTTCTGAACAACAATTGTGCTTTTAAAAAAGTCTCGTTGGGTTTCTTGCTGGTTCTTCCCAGGACAGAGGTTTCTTTTCCGAACCAATGTTAGAAGTAAAAAATGACCTTTAATAAGTATTACATATTATAATCTATACTGACTAAAAATGAATCTATTCTATTCTATTCCCTGAGAATAAATATCGATTGCCTTATTACCAGGTAAAAAGAATTTCCGATTTACAACAACCAATTGACAATTACCATATAAATCACAGCAGCAATGCTGAAAAATTACGCAGATTTTCAGTGAGGGAATAGTCCTTTACCCGTGATACTAGCTCTTTTCGGCAGTAGATCTTTAAACAGCCAAAATTCAGCTGTGCCTAGCTCTACTACCCGAAAAAATTACGCTATTTTTGGTGTTCTAACTATATCAAGCCGTATCAATCCACTTCTTAGGCTAATAATTAATTTTAAGCCATTTATGCCTGAAATAAAGTTATTGAATATTGTATTGTAATAAATAAGAGATAATCTCACACACAACATCACAATCGTGATGTTGTGTGTGAGATTATCTCTTATTTAAATACGTTTCACTACAAAATTTTCTTTAATGGTCTTATTTTGTATATACTGTTTTATGGCTGTAGATACTAATAAAAAAATTGGTCGTCATTAATAATCTCATCTGTCAAATTAAAATGTCCCCCTCTTTATGTTGCCTACTACCGGTTTACATCTTATATATTCTTTTGGTAATTTTTGATTTTATATTTATTGTCAAGTCTTAAGATATTAAATATTTACATACAATAAAATGTTTGTAATTACATTATAAAATAAGATTCCTGAGGTAATAAATATCCAATGTACGTGATTTCGTTTATGAATAATTGTAAACTGCATAATGCGTGTATAAAAAAAAAACAGGACTCTGACTAGAGTCGTGGTTAGTTAGTAGTTGCATCTGTACGGTAAATTATACGGTTATTGCTGAACCAAAGATTTTCTTTGGTAGGATTGGTCCTTAAGACCCAAGGATGGATTTCAGAAGTAGAGCCACCGCGATTTTTGATGTTAGTTCTTTGAGGTTTTCACAGATTCTGCTTTGGAAAAAAATAGGATCTCAATCTGTATACAGGCATTAATCATGCTACTAATTCAAGTTTGGTACCATATTCGTGTGATTTAAGGATGCTAAATTCATTTTAGGACTCATATTTGTACGGTTAAGATGTTAAACTACGTAAAATAAAAAAGGTAACATTACAGCATTTATTTAAAAAAATCTAAGACTAAAAAAATCAAAAACTTTGGTATGATAATTCCTAGCCCTCAGCCTCCAATACCTCTGAATCCAGTTCTATATCGTCTTCGACGTGTGCTTCACGGTCTATTACACTGTAATAAAATATAAAACAATGATTACCCAAAATAGTAGAAACAAACAAGCAAGCAAACTAAAAGCGAAAGTTATTCAAACATAAGTATACCACAGTAAAGCGTGATGACGAACTTTTCCAAGCTAATCAGTATATCATCTGTAAGTTCATTTAACGGATTAGTAAGAGCTTTAAAAGCTGATGTGGCATCAATAAACTGCTGCCATACCTTCCAGGTCAGTGTTTTCCCTTTTGAGTAGAACGCAGAAACGGTGTCAGAACCTGTGAATGCATGGTACCCTCTCATATCTTCTACTCTTTCTTCACCCAGATGATGTGCCAAATCATGCGCAGCTATATAACTGTGATGATTTCCAGTACCAAAAGATAACCACAACTCTTTGAGACCTAACCGCTTAAGGGAAAAGTAGTAGGATATGTCAATTATGAGCACGTCGGAATCAACAGTATGTGTTATGTTTGTTGCTCCATTCATCAACGTGTCCTTGGCATGCAGAATAATGCGGCTATCAGCCTCCTCGCAAGTAACATTAAGCCCTGTCAACAGCGTGTTCGTTGGTACTGATGATTTGATTGTCGTACCGATGTTAGTCACTATATGTATACCGAGGTTCCCCTGAAGGGCATAGCATCCGAGTAGCTTATATAGTTCTTCCTTGTTGTAAGTATTCTTAAGAAAGTTTGACCAATTGCTTGGCAATTTGTAGTTGTCATGTACTTGACGACGTATTCCTTGGCCTCTATCATCCCGAACCTGCTTCTTGAGAGACATATCAGAGTAAAGATCCCAGACGATATCAACCCTTCTCGCCTCTATGTTCTCTGTACTTCCCAAGATGCACCGACGGAACTCATTGCAGCAGTATTCTTTGAATGTTTTGGAGCTACGTGGAGGATGACTGTGGACAAGGGCAGCTCCATCAAAAATATGAAAAGTGTTGAAAGGGATAACGGCGTGATTGTGTGTGTGTGTGTGTGTGTGTGTGTGTGTGTGTGTGTGTGTGTGTGTGGTGTGTGTGTGTGTGTGTGTTTGTGTGTGTGTTACCTTCGATTTCTTTCTTCAAAACCGTGACTATGTCAGAGTTCTGGCACATTTCGACGATAAAGAAGGAGGTTCAACTTGATTCTCATAAGAAAAGAAGATGTTCAAATCCAGACTTTTATTCTGACATGATATGAATAGTTTTGAGAATAGATTCACGTCAGACTTTAAAGAAATATACGGGTATAGGAATATAGAATAATTACGTATTATTTGAAATTCATATTACAACTTTTTAATTTTATTAATTTTTACTATCTATTGACCTTAATATTATTCCAGAATTGACATTTAGACATTCAATAAAGGGTTTTTCAACAAGAACTTTGTTTTCTAAAACAAAATAAAACAAAGAGTTTAGATGAAGATGATTCAAATTTTTATTGTATTACGAAGAGAAAAGTTTGGCAATTATGAATGAAAAATTATATGTGGCAAATGTCCACCACGACCACGCTGACAGATATCGATTCTTACATCAAAGTTTTTAATCACTTTTTGGCAAAATGGCGGGTCTATTTCGTTAATCACGTCACGAATTTTGAGTTTTAAGGCCGCGATCGATTCGATTGGCTCCGTATAGACTCTGTCCTCAACATAGCCCAAAAAAAATAATCCAGTGGTGTTAAATCACACGATCTGGCTGGCCATTTAACAGCTGAATTTCGTGAAATTATGCGATCGGGAAATTTGGTTTGCAATAAATTGATCGTTTCGTTGGCTGTGTGACATGTGGCACCGTCCTGTTGAAACCACATGTTTGTGATATCGATGTCATCAATAATAGGCCAAAATTGAGATGTTAACATCTCGCGATAGCGTGATCCATAGACATGTTCGAAAGAAACGGCCCAATCACGCCTCCAAACCACATAGCGCACCATACAGTGACACGTTGTGCATGCAAAGGCTTCTCAATAATCGCTTTAGGATGTTCAGAAGCCCAAATGCGGCAATTTTGCTTGTTGACGTACCCTGACAAGTGAAAATGGGCTTCGTCTGAAAAAATGATTTTTTCAGAAAAGCCAGCGGGCTGTTCCTGAATGAATTGAGCGAATCTACGGCGATGTGAATCAGGTCAGCTTCAATTCCTGCACCAGTTGAACCTTGTAAGGCTTCAAAGCCAAATTCTTACGCAAAATTCGCCAAGTGGTGGTTTTGGATAACCCCAGTTGTTGAGAACGGCGAGGAATTGACAAATTTGGATCTTCTTCAACACTGTGGCTCACGGCTGCGATGTTTTCGGTTAAACGACCCAGTCGAACACGCGTTGGTGTTGGCACATTTTGTACCGAGCCTGTCGATTCAAATTTAGCGACCAAATTCTTAATAGCGCTCTCAGAAGGACGATTATGTTGTCTGAAAATATCATGAATTTTACGAAACGTAACTTTAACAGAACCACCATTTTCATAGTGGATTTTAATTATTTTAATGCAATTTTCGAGCGAAATTGAATTCATTGTAGCAATTGCCAAAGCATCTACTACGAATAGGTCAAAAAACTAAATGTCAAAACTGTCATGTTGTTGGTGTTGCCCCAATTGAAAAACAAAGTTCTTGTTGAAAAATCGAAAATGATACCAAACTCGACTATATACCTAAACCCTACGCAGTTGTTAACCTAAGACTTTGTTAAGGCTTAAACCCTCACCACCCCCTCCTGCATGAAAAATTCCAGTCGCTCCACTTCGAAAACCCAGCTTAGGGATCCAAAGATCAATTCTGCCAAAGGAAATCTTTGGTTCAGCAAAAGCCGTATACTTCGTTTTTTTGTCGTGTGCAGCTGCAACTATACTTTACTGTTTTGAGTTTAATGAACTAGTTTTAAGAAAAAAACTAATGAAATGTATTCATATTTTTAACCGAGGCGTTCAAGAAAGGAATTGCTCATAATTTGGTTACATAACATCCCCTTTTTTGTAAGATGAAATGCAGATTTATTATAATTACATTTAGTTAAATACTTCGTCAATAAATAATAACTGGTTTTTAGTACATACTTTTGAATGTTTGTAGGTGCGAACGGTGTTAAAAAAGCATTATGAAAACTACACGGCTATGAGAGCCGACCCGCGCCGACCACGCGCTTCCAGCTGCGGTGACAACAGGACGACGCGTAGGGAGTAAGTATAGGATTGCTTACAAAAGTAGATCGAAAACCAGTGTTGCCAACATTAACATCTTGCTCCCGTCGTAGAGAGCACTAAAGTTGTCCAAAACGACTATAAATCAATAGCACGCTACAGACTAAAAACTATAAATTTCCAGCGCGCTATTAAATACGCTATGTTATAACGCGCTATTTATAAGAAAGCGTGTAGGAGGCCGGCAAGCGCGTTAAGTTTTGCAGCACGCTATATCTCGTAGCACGTTACATTACATGTCGTTCATTGGATAGATAGACCGCGTGCGATATAAGAACATTATTTCGTAATAAATCGCATTTTAGATAAAATAAAGCGGTGAAGAAAAACCAATGAAGGCTTTTTCATACTTTTCAGACTTACGAATTTCTATAATCCTAAAAATATTTTTAAGACATGTACTTTTTAAAAGGAAAAAAATTAATAATCTTTTATTATAACTGATGTAAACGTTATTTTAACCTTAATGTAAATCAACTAAAGGTGTGTTTAAAAGCTTTTTGATTGTATTTATAAAAATCAACTATGTACATACACTATTCTATACATTTGTATCTATATTTTATTTACATTTAAAAACATTAGTTAGGCTTTTTATAGCAGACAACTCTGTCTATCGATCACTTATAAATATACACTATACACTAATTAAATAACGTCTAATACTAAATTAGGTCGCGCGTTATGAATAGCATGCTACTAGATCAAATTTGCGTCACACGTCCTCTCCCAACAGCGCTGCTGCTAATTAGGTCGGCATGCCCATAAATTATAACATTGACAGGTACTGTCTGTACTACTAAGAAATTCAGGACTTCATAGGCGTGATTTTTACTGACAGCTGTCGCAGAGATCAAGCTATCATTTTATGAACTATAGCTATTAATACTTAATAGCGCCATAACGCAATAGCGCCATGGCGATTCATTATATAGCACGCACTATGTGTTATGGAGAGATAGCGCGCTATAAAATGGCGCTATGCGCTATATTAACCACCAATAGAGAACACTATAATCCCGTCAAATTCCGTCAAGTACGGTAGACAAGTGTCAATCATTCATTGTATTGCACATTTTTTCGTATTTTAAAACTAAAAAAATGA